CGGAGTCAGCACATTCAATGGCTAATTTGCATAAAGCCAAAAGCCAGAAAGAAGACTCGCATTTGACAACCGCCGACAATTTGCTCACAGAGACATCGATAGATTCGTCCATCGTATTTTTTTGTTTTTGTGGTTTGTGAATCATCCGATTTGATTTCCTAAATGACAGCCATAAACCCCTCCGACCACTCCAGTCCGCTAACAGAGATTTGTGAGACAATAGTGGCCCGTAAGTTGGCAGCAAGTTTTCTGCGAATCTTGCCGCTGACTTGACTGAATGAATATGTATATTAGACTTGGATATTATACTCGTGTGTACCCATAAATATTTGCGCAAATGTGCTTGGTCTGTGTGGCTATATCCGCGCATATAGTTCCGCAATAATATTCATTTATGCAAATTTTTCCATGCATTCTTTCTAGTCTCTGTGCGTGCGTTTCTGTGCTTTTTCGCCTTTGTATTTACCCCTTTATTTTGACACACCGAGGTATATTAAGTTACTGCGAAGGAATAACTAAACTTGGCTTTCGAATTATACAAATTAAATGTTTATATTTCATAAAACTCAATAAGTTGAATAGGACTTTTTAAGTAAAGGATTAATGATGACTAAACGATCAGGTCATTAGCAAATGTACTTATACTTTTTATCGACAATGTGTACCTGCCGATAAAAAAAAGTTCGTTTACAAAAAAAAACACATATGTATGGCTAGGTTTAAGAAATAGAATTTATGTCAAATTAAATTAACTTTTTTTTTAAATCAAAAGTTTAAAATTGGTTTATGTTGTCTACCAGATTCATTTCCCACAACGTAATATGTATATATGCATATCTACATCCCAACTTAAGGCTAATTAGTTAATAAAATCTGATTAAGTCGAAATGGTTTAAAAAGGGTATCATTTTGACGACCCTTGCGAAATCAGCGTTTTTACTATATTTATTTAAACTTATTTTTATTTCCGTTGAGGCATGCGTCGAATTAAAATTCAACATTTGAAATGCGACGCGGTAAATAATTCAAGTGCCCGGACTTTTGCACCAGCACCCTTCCACATCGCTGTGGCTTTAACTCGTTGAACCCTTTTTACGTTATATTTAATTATTTGCATACACAAATATTTTTGTTTGTCGGAATATGATGAATGCTGTGAGATTTTTTTCTGGTTCTCGTTTTTGCCCTGCTGCCTGCCGGCAATTTAATTGATATTGATGACGCTGCTCCAAATGGCATCACCCCAAAGTCCAGCCAGGTCTCTCTAAGGGGGAGTGGGGCAAAGCAGGCGGTGCTCTCTCAGTCATTAATCTGGCACATTACTTGGTGGCTAGGGGTGGGCGAGAAGGTCTTCAGGAGTACCACAAACAGAAAATTTAATTTATTTAAATTGAAATCTGTGCCCCTTCTGAATCATGGAGAAGTTAATCACAATTTTAAATCTGTTCTGGTTCTCGCAGTGTTGTGCATATAAATTTTCAAAGATGTCTCGGAATTATTTATTTAAGTTGATATCATCAATTATGTCTTGAATGCCGAGATATTTCGGCAGATTTAGTTGGGAGTGGATTGATTTTGACCAAAACAACAAAACAACATTAATTTAAAAAATTAAATGACAAAAAAATACGTAAATGGTTAGGTTAGCGTACTAAAATTTCAGTCAAAAATTTGCAACGCACATGAAGTGCACATTTCCGACCCTAAAACTATATATATTCATGATAGGCATCACTAGGCGAGTCCATCAAGCCATGTCCGTCTGCCCATTTGTCTATCCATCCGTCTATCTGTCCGTCTGTCTTTCCGTCTGTCTGTCCGTTTATACGCAAACTAGATCCTCAATTTCAAAGCTATTTGGATGCAACTTAGCAAAAAGTCTTTCTTTTATAAGTCGGAAAGGACCGGATCGGCCTTGCTGAAGTTTGTTTTTTTTTTGGTTTAATATTTTCAAATAAAGTCGAGTACCTTATATTCTAGATATGTTGAAAAAAAGTTACCTCCGAAATTTGCAAGATCGATATACTTTTTATTTTCTTTTTTTGTGGTTCTTGTTAAAATAGTGAGAGCTAATTTGAAAATGATTGTAAGAAAGTAACTGTTTTCTCCAATTTTTTTCGTAAAATATAAATTTTACACAAAAAAGTGAAGTAACATAAAATATGTTTTTGATAAAGATCTTATTTTAGCTAATGTTGATAAAAATTAAAGATATTTTGCTGTTTTTCCCACAAAATCTTGTGGCGAATTTCGACCTAGTTATTTGTAATATTTAGGTCCCTACATACATGGATTCTGAAAATTAAAAAAACAGTCCCAATAATAAAAAGTCTATTATATGTACATATATAGAATTATTTTCAAAATGGTTTTGTATAAAAATTTTTTTATATAAAAATACAATTTTTTACATCTTTAATCATATATGTATGTGGAAATTGTGTTGACTTTGTAATTGTTCATGCAAACAAAAAAAATTCTACTAACTAGCAGAAATTGCTAGACTAAATAAAATTCTATTGTTCGTACGAGATACTCATCGCTTTCTCAATAAATTTGTTTACGTAAACAATTTGACGTAAGAATATCTGTGCAGTAAGTAGGCACTTTTTCGCCGCGTTTTAACACTTTAAACATCATGAAATCAGTCACTGAGTTTGAGTTTGCAAAAATAAATAAACGGGTTGCTGATAAGCTTTGATTTGTAAATAAAACTAGGGATAATGGTTAAAAATTAGTAAATGAACAGTGTAGCAATTTAAACAATACTGAAGACAAGGGTAAAAAAACAAGGGTAAGGTCGGGCCCAATTCAATATTGGGGGTTGAAAGGTAGCAAAAGGGATGAATCCACCCTTTAAGACTTATTTCTTTCCCACATTATTCTCTACTGGGTAACTTATTATCATTTAAAGAATTTAATTTAAAGAATAACGTTTTTCTGAAAAAATAGCAGGTCCCAATGGGTTAATCCAATTCCATCAGAGGTCGTGAATACTCTTTACAGATTTAAATTCCGGGCCCGATTTCATGAAAATGGACTTGAAAGGCAGAAGTTAAAACGCAATTCCAGCGCACAAAGCAATTTTAAATGGACTAGTGGGGCCAATTAAAATACCCCGATAAGAAGCAGTTGCAAAAATAGCGTAGTCTGGGGATCAATGGGTTTCTATCGGCCGAAGAGATAAGCAAACAGCTGACGCGTTGCAGAATAAACAAAGGCCGAAACAGGCGAAACCAGAAAAATAGAGCACTAGATAAAAGCTGAATAAAATAAAGCTAATCAAAGTTACACAAAAGGGAAAATTTATACTTTAATTGCGCTTCTCGTGCAATTTAATTTTATAAAAATTATCAGTTGAGTAAGGTTTCTAAATTGAAGAAGTGCTTTGATTGGAAAAATACTGCAAAAGATATCAAAAGCAAAGTCTTCAAAACTTGAATTGTTTAATATTGAGAAGTCGTCGTTTGATATACGGAGGATGGACTGTGTGTTCGTATGTAAATATCTATTTGAGTTACTTTTTTTCTGTGTACTTAAATAAAAATCAAACAATGGGTCATCAGCCAATATGGAGAACGTATGTGGGTTTGGGTGTATGTAGGTGTGCAGGTGTATATGTGTGTGTTGGCAAGCGGGGTGAGAGAGTGGGAGTTAACTGTAAAATTGCATATTTTCCGCTTAATGGCGAACCGTTATCCCTGCCCCCAAGCTTTAGTCACTTTGAAGGGGATTACGTTGTGTTTTTGGAGCTCGAAAAAGCGTTAGATGTCGAAATAGTCGCGTTGCTGAATCATAACAAAACAACAATCGCACACTCACCTCCGCATCTCCCTGTTCCTGTCCCGCTCGCTCCTCCGTGAGTTCCTCGCCAGCTGCTTGGCTCAAAAGCAATACAAGCGCAACTGTTGCTGCCACCAACAGCCTCATTTTTGTGGGTGAGTGGTTTTTTTTGGAAAACTTCTGCTTTCTCCGTTAAAAAATCGACGATTTTTGATGTGTTTGGTTAACAATGAGGTTGGCACAAATCGCGCACAGGTAAAGTCGAATGTTTTTACGTTGCGCTGGCGAAATACGCCGCTTCTCTGTTGTGGGGTCTTTGTTTTCCGCGAGCTAAGATAGAGCTGGGACAAAATCGATGTAACATCCAAGCTATCGATTTTTCAATAAATTGGCAACATCGATACTTTCCTGCATAATATCGATTACCTTATTGGATTAATGGCTAGATTCCACTTTTTCATATTTAAAAATTCTGTCAAACTTACTTTTTTTCGTGAAGGTTCCTGTTTAAAAATAATTGAGTTTGAAAAATGGAACAAATTTAATGTGATAAGGAGTCATGTGCTCTGATACTTTTTCAAGCGCCATTCTTTGGCGGCCTTTTTAAAAATTTTAAATACCCGCCGATTTCTTTCAGCCCACCAGGTTACAATAATTTTTCATTTTAAGTCTAACTCTAAACAAATATTACTTTGTTAAGGTAATATATTTGTATTAAATTTCTTATATTTGTGGCATATTGATTAATATTTTTGAAAGAAGCTAAATCGAAAAAAATCACTAGACTGGTTTTATAAAGCAACTAAAGCTATTTACTATTCAACAACACACAAAGGCCGTTTTTGAAAATTTTCCCTATAACTGCTTTATAATTTCCAACTTGTCTAGCTATATGGTAAAGCTATCCCTTTCAATTGCTAAGTAAAGTCATCGAAAACAGATCAATTTTATGCTGAAGTCCGCTGAGTAAATCCTCGTGTGCTTAGCATAAAGTCTGGTTTTTAATTTAATTTTAATATGTGAACCGACTTGAGCCGCCTTTTAATTCGTCTTTTTCATAATCCTTCTAAAACTGGAGAGGTCCGATTTTGTTGATCATTATTTAAATTCTTCACTATCAGTGTATTCAAAAAATAAGTGTATTGAATTATATTATTATTTCGAAACCCGAATGGAGATTTTTTCCAAACACTTGCGTCTGCGCGGAGGAGGTGCATCCGAAACCAGGACAGCTAAACGGTGCGTGACCTGGCGAATATGTGCCCAAAACGGAAGTGCACAAAAACAAACAGTGCCAGGTAACCGCTAGCAACAACTCTAGGTTGTACTTGGTATTGATAAAGCGCCTTTGCAACAATTATCTATTTTCCAGCAGGCTAGACTTCTGCTTTTCGCAGCATGAGCTCGCACTATCTCAACTCCTGTGTGAAAGTGCCCATCGATCCATGCAACAACTGTCCGGCTCCGGTCTACAATCGCCCCAAGCTCTGTTCCCTCGGAGGTAAAAAGGCTCAGACTGCCATGGAATCACCGGAGGCGGAGACACCTGCGTGGAGCAGCCAGATGGGTGTCAGGTCGCTGGCCAAGTTCTACGACAGTATACCTGGTGAGTTTGGTTTTGGACGCCGAGACTCGTCAAAAGAAAATGGTTCAAGGAGTCGGTATTGATAGTGAATCAGGAGGAGGCTCTGTGGAATCGCATTATAAGCAGAACAAGCAATCCATTCTAAGAAGTTAATTTATTTTACATTTATTCTCTTTCTCATGATATTTTTTCGACCGCTTCCAAACTATTTTGTAAATAAATTTTTCAAATTAATGGTCATGCAGTCATTTTTTTCTAGTGAAATAAATTAATCTGTGTTCAAGGGATATTAAACTTGATCGAAGCCAAAATGTTAAGGGAATATTAATAAAAATTGTATCAGTGGTGCACTGTTTGTAATTATTATTTTCCATATATTTTCATTATTTTTCTCCAGACTACTGTGATGTTAAGCACCTACACCAAGCGGAGTTTTACTCCACGCTGGAGAGTCTGAGGAGCACGAGCCGTGAACTGCGATCCCAGCCAGCTGCAGCTCCAGCTCGGGAACGATGTGCTAGTGCCAGCAGCAGTTCTCTGGGACATGGAAAGTCGAAAAAGCGGTCGTCCAAAGGAAAAAAGATAAAAAAACGTCCTTTGGTGCTGGATCCTCCTGCTCATCCACCAATAGAAGTGATCCCTGAGCACCAAGATAAATGCGGCACTCACCCAGTGGTCCGCACTCCAAATTCCAGTTGCCTTAGCGAGGAGTATGACAAATGCCTCAGGGACCTGAGCCGTTTGAAGAGCTTCAAGGATGACTTCGCCGTCGAGGTGGCGGATTTCAAGAGGTCCCTTAAAACTTTTGAGGCGGAGTTCCGTAGGCCAAAGTCCACTAGCAGCAATGGAACTCAAACGCAGACTCACAACCAAAGTCAGACCCATAACCGCTGCCAGCCGACTGCTAATCCTGGCCAGCACACGGCAGAGCGGGCCAAGTGCCGAAGGGAAATGCTGCGCAGGTGCTTCAGTGTCAATGATCTTCAAGGAAGTGCCTCAGAGGCAAATCCAAAGCCTTCCAAACTCGCTCAACCGTCACTGAGCAATTATTTTCCATGCAGAAAGGATGAGGAGGTCCCCAAGATACAGATACAATCACCCACCGCCTCCTCGAAGCGCAGCAGTAGTGCATCCACCACAGGAAGGGGTCGAGGAAGACGCGGCAGGGGAAGGAAACCGAAACCAGGGTCAATTCTTAAGGAAGAGAAGCCGCTGCCACCGCTGAGCATCTTTGATTTGCCGGAGGAGCCGTTACAGAGACGGACGCCGAGCGTGTCACCATTGCACCCGGTATCGCGTCCAAATCTGGCGGCCACTTTGAGGGCTGAAGTTTCCCGAAAAAAGGTTAAGGAGCTAAAAAACAACTGCACCTATCATGATCCCCGTCCGCAATTCGATTGGGAGGTGCGAAAGACACCTGCTTGGAAGTCGCTGTCCTTAAAGTGAGTAGAGAATCACTAAGTACTTATTCCAACCAATCAGTAATCCTTTATCCTTTTTTCCTTCTATGCTAATTAAAATTTAATGGATGTTTCCTTTCTTCAGCGAATCCCACAAGGCTTTATTATCCATCCGGCTAGCCACCCGAAAGGCGGAGCAAGCTTTCCAAGAGCGCCAGTACGAGCTGCATATGGAAATGATGCGGCAGCGAGTCAAATCGGCTCCACTCCTTCTCGAGGGACCCACCTTCTGGGGCCCGGAGGTGGGGAAGCTGACCCACACCTGTCGAAGCGAAGAAATGCGCCACTCCTGCGAGGGCAGCCGGCAGCGGCGGAAGAAAAAGTCAGAGTGTTCAGTGCAGGATGCGGACGCAAAGCTGCAGCAGCTGCGTAAGATCTACGGCTCGGAGAAGTCCTGTTCGAGGCAGTCTCAACGGAGCAAGCGGTCCGGAAGAAGAACACAAGGACTTACCACGGAAACGCCCAGTCACGACAGCGGCGACGACCTGTGCAGTGTAGACCGGGCTTTCCTTTAGAGAATCACCTAATTTCCAAGCACCTAGACACAATATATGTATACATTTTTGGATTGACCTATGCCACGTGTTTATTTTCCGGAAGTTTAAGGCTTTGAAGTGGTTTGAAGTCCGTAATCAGATCGAAGCTGCACTTTTGATCATCTGTCAAGGCGGCGTTTCCAGGACGCTGAAGGATAATGGCTTGCAATCCAGCAGAGCGAGCCGCTGCTGCTTCTAGAATGTGGTTAAAAAGGATTAGCAATTAGGAGACAAGACCATCAACCAATTCCTCACCTCCTGGAATATCCGTGAGAAAGACTATTTGCTCCGGTTTCTCAGTTAATATGTTGGCTATATTTTCGTACGATTGTTTTTCCTGTTTGTGGCCCACATGGGTGTCAAAATAATCACTGAGGTAGGGTTGCAGGTTCCCAGCAATACTATTCCCAAAGATCAGCTTCTGGGCAGCCACGCTGCCGCTGGAGTAGACGGCAATCCGGAGACCAGCAGCACACCAGGCCTGAAAGGCTGCGGGGACATCTTCATAGACACTAAGAAAAACGAAGAGGTATTCAATTAGTAAAGACATCAAAACAACCCACCATTTAACAAATTAATTGATTAGAGAAAAACGAAGTTATTGAGGATATTGGTGTACTATATCAAGATCGTAAAACGTTCCCTTTAAAATCAAACAATAAAATTGTCAACTAATTAAATAAAAAAATAATTGTTTATTTTCCAAATGGTTATTTACTCTTTCAATAATTAGAAACTTTGTATGAAAGTTTAAAACACCTAAAATTAATTTACCACTTAACGTTCAAAATTCCCGAGATAACCCTTGAAATATTCGGGGTGATAGAAGTTCGATTTAAGAGATAGGGGAGAAAAAATAATATATTTGTGCTGTAGCATGAAACTTACTGGCCCTTAAGCTCTCCATTGGCATAACCCTGTGCCCAAATTAGTCCCTGGAGCGTTTTCATCGGAGTGACCTTAAGATCTTGGTCGATTAGGTAGCGCACAAAGCCGCTAATGAGTCCCACATCCACGTTCGCAGGAGTAGTGTTCAATGTGTCCTTGTAATCCGTAAACTGGTGCACCTGTTGCAAATCCTGGACAATTTGCTTGGTATCATCTCTTTCCCAGGATTCTCTTAGAAACTTCTCCACATTCTCCTTAGCGTACGGAAATAGGACATCGTGAACGAAGCTGATCGAGGTGGTGGTACCCTCGATGTCCACCAGCACCACTTTGGCTCCACGTTCACTTGTCGTCATCGCCCCTATCAGAATTAATGTTATCGCCCAGATTTGGTGTTTTCCAAGGGCTCAGCATCTGTTTATGGTCTGATAATAGAGATCATACCGCAAATGCCCGGCTATCGATTGGTAAACGTGCCGAATAATAAACATGGATAGTAAATAAGCTATGCTTATAGCGTTTTCACACTAACGCGAATTTCCTATCTACAAAGCTCTAATCTTTCTTTATATTTACTGTAGTTTCCCTTGACTTTCTTCACACAGTTCGCTTGACTATAATATCAATTAGAATTAGAACTGATATTCTGCAAGTTGAAACATTTCATTCCAAATTTTTAAACTCAAAATTATGTCCGTTATATATAGCTAGACATGGGCCACCACTAGTTATATTGATTTGCTATCGATATCGATTGCTTGCCGGCTCACAGTGTTGTGCAACGTTACGATGACTATCGCACTCTTTAAGTATCGGTTGACGCTCATCGCTAGGAAATAAAAAAGTTTGGGTGCAAGAAATTTTCAATCGTTTCGCAATTTTCCGTGCAATTTAAACGACAAAACGATTATTCAAGTCTAAGGCTATTAACCAGAGAGTGTCGAGAGAGAAAAACCCAACCCAAATACCTTTCCAAATAAGAATAATTGCCAATCAAACCAACAACAACGCACACATAGTTGTCCGTATGTGTGTGTGTGCCGTTTTTTTTGTTTATTTGGCAAATCAGTTTGGCCTACGTGATTAAAATAAGCGCAAGCGAACTAACAGTGAAATGTTGGCTAAAACGAGTGCCGTAATTCGCATTAATAATTGATAGCCATAATCTGTGTCTGTGTGTGCGTGAGCGGGCGAAGGTGGAGTAAAAAAGAAAAGAGCAGAGAGAACAGTCAAGGTTAGAATCGGTCGTCGCCTTCGGCTCTCCGGCGAAATGCAATGAGCAGGGGTCGCGGAAAGGTCAGGGATTCAGGTAGCCGTTCTGATTCCTATTCTGGATCCAGGTCGGCCATGGATCCACCTCGCTGCTCTATTTGCGGCACTCAGCAACAGCTGCTTCGCTGCGCCAAGTGCAAGGCCGTCTACTACTGCTCACCCGCCCACCAGCACTTGGATTGGCCCGCACACCGCAGCGAGTGCCGCCTCCTAACCCGCCAAAAGGTCAACAGCAGCAACAACAACAAGCAGCAACAGCGCCAGCAAATCCAGCAACTTCAACAAGCGGTGGCATCCGCCAATCTGGAGGGCAATGGCGCTGGCGCCAACTGCTCCACCGCCCAAATGATGACGCCCGCCCACCAGGCGCAGAGTTGGCCCGCCGAGGTGGACAACCTGCTGAATCTCCTGGGGCAGCCGGACAATCGAGCGCAGGCGGCCCCAACAGAAGTGGGTCAAAAGCAGCAGCAGCAGCAACAACACCATCACCATCACGGCGAAAAGAGCTCCAGCTATCAAATTGGACTGGCGGATGCCAGCTTCATGGGATCGGGAAGGTAAGCCTTTCGATAAAAAGGTAGATTTCTATCAGTCCCAGGAATATTCATAATTGCCAACTCCGAATGTAATATGTGATTTTCAGAGTGTTTTTGTGTAATCTAATGTAGCTTCTAAGCATAGGTATAATGGGACAATTAATTATCCTTATCCTCATAACACAAAAACAGTTATAATATGTGTAAGATATCATCTAGATACAATTTCTGTGGAATTTTGATTTTATTTATGCTTCATGCAATTCCAAAATTTACCCTGCTTCTTAGTCAATATAAGGACACCTGTTTTAAATTATTTAAGTAAATAAAATATAGAAATGCAATGTAAAAAACCATATAAGAAACATAACTTTTTTAAATTTTAAACTTAGAAACAAATGAATTGCACAAATAAAAACACAAAATATCCCAATACATTTTTCAAATGTTTTGAATGCAGATGAGTAGGCTTAGTACTCGGCTAACCTGCAAGACTTTCCCTTTAAACCAAGGGAAATCCTTCAGTTTTTAAATAAATATTGCTGCATACGTAAATTAAAGTTAATAGGCCTTTAGGTTAAACTTTAACGAATATGTTTTCCAAATATATTGAAAGGATTTGTAGGTTGTTAAAATGCGCTGCAATTGAAATGCTCCTTGGCCCAATTAAAAAACAAGAGAGAACGCTATAGTCGGGTGCCCCGACTATCAGATACCCGTTACACAGGTAAAGGGAGTGCGAGGGAGATGGAGATAGAAACTTTGATCACGCATAACTTTTTAACGAATGGTCCGATTTGAAAAATTTCTTCTACATTTCGATAGGTATCGATAAACACAATAAAACTGCATTTTTACTTTTCCGAAATATTTAAATTTTTAAAATCGTATATAAGCGATTGTGGGCGTTAAAGGGGGCGTGGCACCTTTTTGAAACAAACTTGCGCTGCGTAGGAACTCCTAGAATCTGCATGCAAAATGCCAATCTTCTAGCTTTTATAGTTTCCGAGATCTCAGCGTTCATACGGACAGACAGACAGACGGACAGACGGACATGGCTATATCGACTCGGCTAGTGACCCTGATCAAGAATATATATACTTTATAGGGTCGGAAACGCTTCCTTCTAGCTGTTACATACTTTTGCACGAATACAATATACCCTTTTACTCTACGAGTAACGGGTATAAAAATATATCAATCTATGCACAGAATTTGGAAGAGGCACACTGAAAGTAAAATATTGACTCTACAAAGAAAGTCCTTATCAGATAATCTTGGCCAGCTTTACTAGATCAAGCAGCGAGTGCGATGGCTCCTCCACCCGATCCCTTTCCTTATCCTTCATTGCATCCGAACGCAAATCCTCCAGACTCATATTTTGGGCTCCGTATGCTTGACATTTGTACAGTACCCGCTCAAACTCGGCCACGCTCAAGTCCTGACCCTTTGGGGAAGTTTGCTTTACCGAGTTCACTGCTATAGCTTCCCACACAGGTTTCTGCGCTGGCTGGACATCAATGCTTTTGATTTCTTCTCCGTCGACTGCATAGATCGTGGCCACTGCTGCTCCGGCTCCTTCCAGCATGGCCAAGACGAGACAGCCCACAAAGGCACTGTTGGCCATGGCTCGAATGCCGTTGCGTGCTGCCAAAATTCCGCCAGTGGCCGCTCCGCTGACAATTGAGTTCCAGGAATCCTCCCTCTGGCGATACGAATTTAGAAAGCAGTCCACAGTGCTAAAGGTGGCGCCCCAAATAGCAAAGCTGCCGGCGATCGCCGGTGTCCGCAATTTCACCGACTCGAATCCGCCGTAAAGGCCGATTCGTAGACCGGCCGGAGAATTACGGAAACCCCTGACATACTGGAACAACGATCCTCCCACGGTGCCTATCATAAAAGCGCACCCGCAGTCCTCGATGATTCTGATGGGACACGGCTGGCGATTGTACTCCATGATCTAGTCCTAGATACGTTTAGTATATTGATAGTCTCTGTCCTTTAATAAAATTGTAGCATTTATTCGCTTTTCTTCGTTTGGCGAAGATGCGATTCTTGTGTATATATATTTTGACTTTTAAACGAAAACGTCCGATTTTTGAGTATATATTGTTTTAGGAATTGAAAATCTTTGACTTTTATGTCAATACAATTTATTGATCTGCTATGATGATCTAAAGAAAAGAGTAATTTACTTTACTTGTTCAGAGGTGGGCAAACTTAGTCATTTTGTATTTTTTCTAAAAACTATTTTTAAGGCAAACGTGTTTTTGTCAAAATAAACTATTTTTAGGCGGTGTGCAAACGATTTTTTAAATTCTTACTTTTTAAGAGATGACAACCACGGCCTTTTTTTATTTTTTCGAAATTGCGATTTTTCTGCACGCAAATATGATCATGACTTAAAAGTCAAGTTAATGATTTTATTCGACCCAACTTCTTTAAGCTCTAAGCAAGTCCAAACAAAAATTTCAGACGTGATGCGTGACGTTTTAAAATAAAATATTGATTTATTGTTTAAGCCTTTTTTCGTCACTTTTGATAAGAAATGCCATAACCTGTTTATTACTTCGTTAAGAGGCTTTTGTTTGACAGAAATAAAACTGACATTAAACCCTTTTTAAAACCAATGGTATTCTATTGCCTTCCCAACTTTCTTCTATGTTATTGTTGCTGCTTATCTTGTCGTTGATCAGTGATGATTTCATCAGATAACAAGTTATTATATGTGACTGAGTCAAGTACTTCGATAAGTAAGACGACCGTGCACTTGAAACTGCGTTTGCAATTTGTGGAAACATCGTGTCCGCAAATCGAAATGTATACTCCCAGATTAGGCCCCAACATGTGCATTCTCATCGTCGTAGGCCCCGTGCCGCCCCTCAGGGATCCTCACTTGCATATCAAGTCAATTACCGATAAGCGTTTACGTGCCCGTTCTGTGAATCGGCACGAAAGAAAAAAATAATAACGTTGCTGACATATCATCTATAATGAATGGTACAATTTATGGCTGTATCTTACAAATTCTGGAATTTTTTCTTTTAAATATTTGTGGACTTTGGCATTATATTTCTAGACTCCTAAAAAGTATTTTTTATCAACACCTCAGCTTTAAAAGTAAACTCAGGGGAAATTAAAGTTGTGGCCATATTGAACCACATCATTTTAAACTAAAGCTGGTAAAAACAATTTTATTGTTTTTGTAATAAACAAATAAAACTTACTTTTCTAAATATTTTTTTCTTCCATTTATCCACTTTTTTATCTTAAAAGATTGACCAAATTTTTAAAAGCTTAATCTTAAGAAACTTTATGATTTTCAATAATATTTTATAATGGTTTTACAATATAAGATATCCTAAAAACTTTTAAAAACAAAGTATTAAAAAAACTATTTTGAAATAAAATTTGTTTTCCATGTTTAAAGATTATAAGAAACTTTTTTCGATTTTTTTTTTGATTACCATTTGTGAAGCGCATGTCTCTTTGTCTGAAGAGAACTTGAAATTACAGAAAACAAATTCGCAAAAGTGTTTGTACCTTGCGATTCGATTCCCTCCGAATTTTTGCACTTCGTTGCGAGATGTCACCTCTCCAGCCGGGTATTTACCTTTGGCATTACGTGCCCGGCAGTCGAATGCATATGGCGACCATAGCCAATCTGATAGCACCTGCAGTCGCACTCACAGTCGCATTTTCCCGGACGGACGGTGCTGACTTTGTAATTATTCTGTTGCGCAGTTCATTGCGTTCAAATCTTTGTTACTCGCTTATTTATTTATTTTTGCTTTTCACCCCGGCACTAACAGATACAACAAACATGCACCGCACACATCAGACAATATATAAAAATACTTTCGCAATCGTTGGACTTCCAACGAATCGGGCTGAATCATCAATAACACTAGACGATAAAATATAATTGTTTGGATGTTATTTTTTAAGTCAAAGCATCATATTATGACAATATTGCTATTTTCTTTAACACTCATCAAATCAAAAGTATGAAAAACCATATGTACAAGTATATTTGGAACAAAAAATTTAAATGCAGATAAAGTGGATCTGTGTGGGCTATTGCAAGACTGTTTTGCTGTTAAATAATTTTGTCGACCAGTGTACGTCGCCTCTTTTTCGAGCTTCTTATCACTTGGAATGGGTGGTCCGTTTACCAGGGTGGTCCGGAGCGTTTTGCCTACGTGCCTGGAATATGCAAGCGTATAACTCAAATCGTGTTATCAGAATTTACCATTTGCCTTAGCTTAGATTTTAATCTGCCGCGAGATGTGTTGTTCTTTATCAAACAATTAGCAGTCGGACCGGCGATCTCATTTTCAGAGGTTTGCAAAATTCCGACATTGTTTATAAATGTGCTAAATTTGCTGGTGTGCCTGTCAGGCAACTCGCCGGGAAAAATAAACAATACGGTGCGCAAAACTCGATAAACAACGATCGCGCGAAAACCGCATTCATCCGCCGTCGACTGTCAATGTCAAATATTTGATAAGAAAGGTCAATAATCCATCCTGCCATTCCGCTATTAATACGGCTAAAGATAAAACAAATGTGCAATCGCACCAAAGTTTGGTCGGATTTTCTTAAATTTTTTTATGGATTTTTTTCTTTCGAGGGGAAGTTCTCTAGTTTGATATACACAATCTTTTGTATTAGTACTTATTACAATTCTTTCAACAAATAGATGAAAAGGTTTCAAAGTGACCTAATATAGACCCAAAAGTTAAAAAAGTGCTTCGTAAAACATTACATACAAATTGTTTTTAAAGTTGTCTTAAACCTTTTTTTTTATAAAATTGTTCTTAAAATTTAAATAATTTTGACCTTTTAGGTAATTATTACTAAAATAAGCTTAACAAGAGCATGTGAAAATGGGCCGTAAACAGTTTGTGCTTGTTAGTCTATTTGAATAGATATTTCGTCTTTACCTGGAGAAAGTGTTGAACACACCTTGTTAAGTCACAGTTAGTGACTAACAAGTCATTTCTAAATAAAAATATTCATCGACCATAAGATAGCCGGCCAATTCTTCACAATTGAGGGTCGGTAAAAATCGGACAATCGTTTAACTAGATTTTTTGGACGACAAATTTAGCCATTTAAAAAAATGTCTTCGCAATATGAAAATAAAGCACGCGTATCCGCATTTGTAAATTTTAAAGTTAATGGAACATCTTTATAAGCAATAATTTGATTTTGATCTTTGCTATTCAGTTTTAAAAAGGGTTTGGTATTATTATATTCTTGTTTATTACATTTTGGTTGTTCTATCCTTAATAGTTTTCGTTTCCAAATATTGTTTACTTTATTCTACATATGTATATCCATTAACTCACTTTTAAATTTGGAGCTGAAGCAACATCTAACGATAAATCTCGAACATAAAAGAAACCAAAGCGAACTACGTAGGCAGACGCACGTCATCAAGGTCGTCTGCCGACCAGTGCGTGTGCGCCTGCCGCGCCCCCCACCTCCGCTACCCTTCCACCCACTTTGAGGGCTGCGTGTGGTACACGTGCCGCAGTCGCCCTCGTCGCACGTAATACATCACAGACGAAGGGCTCAAATCGATCATTACAATGTGCACAGAAACATGTTTGCACTTAAAAAAATCATTACCAGTTCAGTTACATAATCCCTTTTATAAAAAGGACGTTGTGGAAAATTCCTCGCCTGTGAGATCTTAAGGAGACTAGTATACGAGGTTCCTTGCTTTATTTCTGGCCCTAGGGACATGAATGGAAGGACTGTAATTCCACTAAGGGTGTTAATCGAAATTGGTTTTAAATCATGATTTATAAGCCAACAAAAATGTTATATGTATTGTTTTTGTTAATGTGATTTTAAAAGTATAACCTTTCCAAAAATTTCATTAATGTTAATTTTTATACCCGTTACTCGTAGAGTAAAAGGGTATATTATATTCGTGCAAAAGTATGTAACAGCTAGAAGGAAGCGTTTCCGACCCTATAAAGTATATATATTCTTGATCAGGATCACTAGCCGAGTCGATCTAGCCATGTCCGTCTGTCCGTCTGTCCGTCTGTCTGTCCGTCTGTCTGTCCGTATGAACGCTGAGATCTCGGAAACTATAAAAGCTAGAAGATTGGCATTTTGCATGTAGATTTTAGAAGTTCCTACGCAGCGCAAGTTTGTTTCAAAATGGTGCCACGCCCCCTTTAACGCCCACAATCGCTTATATACGATTTTAAAAATTTAAATATTTCGGAAAAGTAAAAATGCAGTTTTATTGTGTTTATCAATACCTATCGAAATGTAGAAGAAATTTTTCAAATCGGACCATTCGTTAAAAAGTTATACGTGATCAAAGTTTCTATCTCCATCTCCCTCGCACTCCCTTTACCTGAGTAACGGGTATCTGATAGTCGGGGCACCCGACTATAGCGTTCTCTCTTGTTTTTGATGGTTTATCTCTGTACTCGCGCTACCGAGATTTAAATTTGTTTGAAGAGATTTTATGGACACCTCCGAAGAAGCTATTTTGGGAACATTTCAGTGACTAATGGCATTTTCTCTAAGTGAACTCAATTTTGGCTCCGACTTTGAACTGGGCCGTTGACCTAATTCTGTGGTTCGTACACTCGCATATGTATGTAGCTTCCGCGTGTTTCCGACGTTCTGTACCGCATCTTCGGGTTTATTTTCAAAGTCATTTTTTTTTAGCAGACATTTGTATCAGACAAATTGCTGCCCCCTCACACTTTGCTGGCATCCACCTCTTTTTAACTCTCTTGTCTATCGTATTAAGGCCTGTGCGTGTGCCTTTTCTAACGTTTGTGTGGGTACGCTCGCATGTGCGTGTGTCTAAGTGTGTGTGATGGGCTACGTGACGATTGTTGCGCTTGCTTTTCTGCTTTTTCGTTTGCCTTTGCTTTTCCTGACTTTTCCGTTTGCATTGGTTTTGTATCAGCAGAGTGTTTTCTGATTCTTTTAAAAGGAGGCCGGAACGAGTACGTGCCTCCCACTTCTCATTTTCGAATGATCCATTCTACTTGCACCGCCAAGTCGGTTTCTCGTAATCTGCAGCTGCTTTTTAACTTTATTTTTGCCTTATTTTCTATTATTTACCCACACCTATCAAGGTGTTGCTTATCGCCTTAAACGGTTGCTTCTTCTTAAATAACCGCTTCCCTGGCCCCCAATTCTCATTCTCTCGTAATAACACTGTCGCTCTCAGACAGTGATTACAGATTTTGAGAAAGAGAAAAAAGCTAGAAATAATTAGCCCTGTTTTGTTGATGTTTTGAGATGTTTTTTACAATTCTCCAAGCCACAACACATAAAAGTCAAATTTCAATTGTATTTTAAGTCATTTAAATTAATCTAGGCTCTTCCCAACCGGCATAATAAATACATATACGTTTTTTCTATCTTGCCTCCTATAAATTAATTAATCTGGACTGTTGTGTTTTTTTTTTTATTAAATTATTAGAATTGAATTAAAAAAAATCATTATCTGCAAAGCCTTATTTTCGTTAATACAATAACTACTTATCTCAGTATGGTATAAAGTGACATTCACTAGCAGTATCATTAATTTAGTTCTGTATTCCCATTACCTGAAAAAAATGGAAAATGTAACTGCAAATTAAATGAGAAATTTAATATGAAGTAAAGTAGTAGATTTAGCTTTAAATTAGCTAAAATGTCTTCACATACTGTCCCTTGCTCTCTTCCTCTCTCCCAGTGCGTGCGGCAACGGTAATAGTCGGAGCGACTTGCTCTGCTCCCGCATTCGGAAAACGAACGGCAACGAGTGCGGTTCGTGTCAGCTGTTCCACATTTTTTACTTAATTTAGTTAACCGAAACCCAGCGATAAACAAACGTGACTAACAGTGCATAAACAAAGGCAAATCAAAACAAACATCTGCCAGTGAAACAAAACAAAACAAATATATATATGGGCAATTTTGCAGCTGGCCACAACAAATGCAATCTGCAATTATTCATACCTGCCCACCAATACGATTGCAACAACGCGGCACCCTACACCGATAAACGATATAATATAACGACCGGTGTCTCTCTCTAACTCGCTCGCGCTCTCTCCCTCCAACGATCGGGGTTCGCATTCGCATAAAACTCGCAGGCATTTTTAAACTTTCTTTAGTTGTGCGTGAATTTTTGGAGAAGTCGCTTTAGAACACTTCTTTTCTAAAAAGACCTAATAACAAAATCTGGATATCAAAAAAGGACCCCCAACCTTTTAAGATACCCAAAAGTCGATTGAAAACCCTTCTCGTCCTTAAAAAAACACCCACTTACTTTATCTGAAGAACAAAAAAGGACACTGAATCCTTAACAAGTGCGAATAAAGAACATAGTTCAAGTGCTATTAGTCAAACACAAGCTGACTAATCAAGGCAAAATGATTACCTCCCCGACCACGGACTACAAAAACTTTTTCAAGCACTCGGCACATCCTGCTAATGCTGAGCAATATTTCCGGGAACTACTGGACAAACGGTAAATGAGCTTTTCGATCTTTAGAGGGCTTTAGGATCCATAAAAGATAACCGAGGCCGAGCGCCACAACGGGGATAACCATTACGAAAAAAAAATAATTTTGGATTTTGTAGATAAAAGCCTTTCTTGACATTCTTGAATTCCTTTAGAAAACATTTTTTCAATTTTGCAAACTCTTTCTTTTCATAGATTTTTGCACTGGTTATTAATGCCAAAAATAAAACCGGTCAACAGTTTCTGTTTGTGGTCTTCAATGCCGTTTTTCTCGCATCTTAATATCTCGGCAGCCCGTGAATTTTTATATTAATATTCACATGTTGGCAATACACAACTTGCTCTATAGTGACTTGTAGTTGTCCCCTATTGATCAACCGTGCCGCACGTTTCGGTAATTTTTGTATTTTTGCGACAATAATTTTTACTTTATGACTTTTTAAAGCTTCTGTGAGCTTGTGCTAAAATGTTTCAACACTTCTTTTATTTATTTATTTTTCCCAATGTGTAGCTTTGCTTTGCTTATCCAGAATTGTTTGTTGTGAGTGGGCCAGTTCTGTTCCGATCCGTATAGTTCTGGGTGGCCTACGTGACTGGGACCCACCGACTTGTATGAAAATATTGGTTTTATGGGCGCATCATAAAAAAGTCGTAAAATTTTATGCATCGCAGCACTGGTTGCTCTAACGCCCATAAAAAAGCTTAACTGTAATTAAACTTTTGCGCTAAAAATAGGTAGGGAAAGCGCTGTCTAGATCTACAGAATGCAGGGGTTTCCCCAAGGTGACCTCACCTTCATAGGCATCTCTAAATCGATTACAGATTTACGGCCTTGAAATGTCTCTTGTTTTTTCCTCTTTGTCTTTTGAATTAATGAAACGCAATTGAAATTCTCAGTCTTATTAAAGTTCTTTGTTTTTCCGCAGTGAGCGTCGCTATGAGGATCTGTGCCGGAACATCATCAACGACATGAACCAGTATGGGTTGTCTGTGGTGGATGACTTCTTGGGCATGGAGACGGGACTGAAGATCCTCAACGAGGTTCGGAGCATGTACAATGCAGGGGCATTTCAAGATGGCCAGGTGGTGACCAACCAGATGCCCGATGCTCCGTCTACAGCGGCGCGCGGTGACAATATTCGGGGCGATAAAATCAAGTGGGTTGGTGGAAATGAGCCGGGCTGCAGCAATGTCTGGTATCTGACCAATCAGGTGAGTTATTTGGATGTCTTAATCCTTTTTTTCCGAACAAGAATTTTAATAGGGCATATAAATTCTCGTATCCCTATTTAAAGTAAAAAGTCCCTATTAAAAGAAAACTGTTGTAGACAAACATTTAGTTATATACCCCAGAGAGAACTTACAGTGTTTACCAGGAATTTGTAAACTTTTCTGATTATGTATGTAAATTCTTGACTAGCATTAACTTCCCGAGTCTATGTGCATATGTACATGGGATTCTATATTTAATAATAAAGTATGCCTTAAGCATTTCAGTGTTTTACAATTCCTTTAAAACAAGTGCTAGAAGTTGACCTAACTTAAATCGAATTTTTGAAAGAAGAGAACCGGAATTCAAAGCGTTTTCCTAAACTCATATAATACTTTTTTTACAAATTTTAATTTTAATCCATTTAAATAATTCTAGATTGACTCTGTGGTGTATCGTGTCAACACGATGAAGGACAATGGTATTCTGGGAAACTATCACATCAGGGAGCGTACGAGGGCGATGGTCGCATGCTATCCAGGATTTGGAACGCATTACGTCATGCATGTGGACAATCCCAAAAAGGACGGCCGCGTTATAACGGCCATTTACTACCTAAATATAAACTGGGATGCCCGGGAAAGTGGCGGCATACTGCGGTTAGTTTTATAAACTTACTTACAGAACACTGAGAATCAACCTAAATCTTAACTATTAACAGGATTCGACCCACTCCCGGAACAACAGTGGCAGACATTGAACCCAAGTTTGACCGGCTGATATTCTTTTGGTCGGACATTCGCAATCCCCATGAGGTACAGCCTGCCCATCGGACCCGCTATGCCATAACCGTCTGGTACTTCGATGCCAAGGAGCGCGAAGAGGCTCTTAACAGAGCCAAGCTGGAGAACAGCAAGACGAACAACGTGGCAGCTCAAGCCCAAGCCCAGCAGGCTGAACCCGACTCTACCACCACACCACCCGCCACAGCAGTAGCACCACCTGCATCCTCATCCAGCCTGCCGGCCAGCATGTCCACGGGAACGGGAGCGTTAAATGCCAATGTGTCCAGTAATGCCTGCGCCGCCAGCAACGAAATATGCACGTAACCCAAGCAGGCAGCGCAGCTAAAGGGCAACCAAAAAGTGTAAATTATTTCCAACCAAACACACATGTATAAAGCTAGTTAAAAACTATTTATAGCTCCGGCGGGCAGCAGCCCAAGCCCGAATTGCAAAAGTGAATCAAAGCTCCTTTAGTCGTTAAGCCTTCTAGTTTAGTATCTAAGTCGTATCCTTAGTTATTCTCGCATTAACCATTAGCTTACTGCCTTGTCAGCGTCCGAGTTGAATGTTTATTAATTATTAGTTTGTTGCATCTTTGTCAGGACCTTTTGCCCAGCTAATTCTTAGTTTTTGGCTGCCAAAGTATTATACCTAAAGATAAGCTAACCAGCATCAGCAACAGTCGCGACGCTCATTATATCCTATCTCAAAATTAGGCCCGCGAATCGTGTGCAAATGCGATCGCTGGCTTCCCACTCAATCTGTCGACTCTCATGCATCTAGTTAGAAATCTTTTTGATATCGTTTACATCTAATAACAAGCGGAAATATATGTCTGTCAGAAATCTATTCTCTTGTTATCTCTAAACCATTAAATATGTATATTTATGGCATATCTACATATTATATGTATATTTTTATATTAAAAAGCCTGAGCAAATGAAATACGTGAGTGTTATTTTATTTGTGTGGGAAGTGTACAAATCTTTACTATGAGCCTTGACATTTTATTAAAGGTTATTTTTAGATAAAACCAACATGATGTCCTGTTAAAAAAATAGTGGGTGTGGAAAACTGAGGTTACAGCTGCCTTCAGGTACATATTCTGTAAAAATTAGATCAATTTCAATAAGAGTTAAAATGTATTTTGTATTTTGTCAGAAATTATTCGTTGCAGTCTTTTGGGCAGATTTTTTATTTATATCGGCTACATAAAAATCATGTCATTAAATATAGTCCCCTCCATACATAACACGTTAACAAACCCGCATTTAAAAACCAAATTTAAAAGACTTTGTTGATATTTGAATATACATTTTATTTTTCAGAAAAGTTGTTCATTTTTTAATGACTTTACATTTACATATAGTATATATTTTATATATATTCTCTTGCTGCTCTGCACATGTGTTTTTTCTGTTTCATTGAGTTGCTTTTGTTGGAATGCAATATTATAGGTACGATACAAGTTGCACACATGAATTAATCCGATATCTATTTAATGTTTTGAATAACTGAAGAACAACGAATGCATTCCATTAAAACCGAACAACCAAGGCAAACATTCGAACTTTCGCTTTATTTTTAACATTTACACTGATCAATATCGTTTGCAAATATGCTTAGTACTTGGCCGCGACCTGAATACAGCTAGCCGATACCATCAAGATACACTTGATTTGCTTTCCAAAAATATATATATGTATGTAGGTAGATATATTTCGTATATACACACGACTTAGATAATGGCTTCTGTTCGTCGAGTAATCAACTTTGTGTTTTCATTGCTTGCAATCTGTTGGTAGAAAAATAAACCACCTGCTGCATTCACTTTTCTATCTGACTCCCGATCTGTCTATATCTTTGTAAAACCCTCCTTCCCTGCTCGGCCGATCCCTTTATATAACATAGCTATGAGGCATGGACCTTTAGTTGTGGCATGGATAGAGTTATGCTCTCATCTAAGTGGAGTTTATACAATCGTTCGGTTCTACAATCAGCATTCTAAAAGGTCTAACTGAAATAAGCGGGAGATCCAGGGAGTCCTTCTTCAGCTCCTAGCAATCGCAAATCTATATCTCTAAGAATGTGTATATTGTATATCTGGCGCATCTAGATGGCTTAATGCCTACATATCCTGAATATCTGCTTGGAATTGTGCGAAGTACATTGTTTAATTTTTGGTGCACAACAACTAGAAACGTTTGCAAACTACTCAACATTGGTAATGGGCAAAGCACTGGAAATGCAGACACTGAGTGGAAAAAGTACTCGCTCTAGATTATGGATAATTCCACACTAATGAACTGGCCGTTAGTTTTGATATACATCTGGGTACTCATGTATGCCTGAATACATAATACACAAATACTAAGCACTTATTGAACTCACAACAAAAACTCAAAGGAGCAGAACTATCGGCATCAATTTGTTATCCATATAATCATGCATTGATGGCTTAAACAATTGTCTGCTGCAACAACAATGTCTGCGGCATATGTAATTCATTTTTCGCTTGGTATATGCACCAGTCTACAATTTAATTGACAGAAGTTACAATATAAAATTATCTCCATTAATTTTGCCACGCTCTCTTTTTGGTTTTAATATTAAATTCATTCCTCTTCAACGCACAACAAAATATCTACGAATTTAACAACATAGTTTTATAGGCTACTAAAATTAATATTTCTTGATTTTCATATAATCCATTAAGCTTTAAGCTTGTGTGTGTGAGTTTGGTTGTGTATTGAGACATAATTGACTGGTTGTCAACAAACTAATTTTCGTTATACATATCAATATTGGATGATGTTCGACCCAGAACGAAATCCTCAACGGGGAGATTTCGTCTGGAATGTAGTATATCTTTTAGTAAACGCATTTTGGTCTCAAGTTTTTTAAATGAAGTTCGCGTAGCTTGAAGTGATTTTTAAGCTATCGATCTCTCGGTTATCATTACTTTTGCTCAGTAAACAAGCCTTTCCAATTTTTGGGTTGGATTCTCTAAAGTCCTAAAAAGAAAGTCTTCTGTTTTCACAATACAACAGGAATTTCAACTTGATTCTCATTTGGGTTTAATGCGTGTTGGGGCGAGTTAATATACTATCCATATAGAGCGTACATGTACATATGGTATGTGTGGTTAGGCATGCACAACTACACAAAAATTGTCTGTCAAGATCGTTTAAATAACATCTAAAAACATCTTCACTGGCGTGAGTCTCCATAGTTCACCATTTACTTAATTCATATGTATATTTCCGTTCTTAGGTCTGGGGTGCGTGCAAATTTTCAGCTAAATTTATCTAAATTGTTGCATGCTAAGAGGGTTCTCTGGATTTCGGCTTGGGATTATCATTACAGTTTATCATTTTTTAAATTTCACAATTTCTTTTCTTGTTTAGTGTGCGTTGCTTTATGAATTGTTTCAGCTTTTAAACCAGTAAAAACGGTAAGTCCGATGAAATGAAATGTGTTTATATGTTTTCCTCCTTTGTTAGTTTCGAACTCTGTTCAGTGTAAAATATCAGCAATTTTGTTTCGTTTGTTCTCTCAAATTTATCATCGAGCGTCTTGTGTGTATTTTAATATTTAGAATATGTTTCTGACTCGGTTGCTTCGCCCTTCGATTTTGGGGAGGTTACAATACAATCGATTGGGAACTGGGGTTTGGGTAGAATTGGGTTCGGTTTTGGGGGCGCAAATACACTACAAAAATTACACTTACATTTACCTAGATTGGTTTCTACCATTGTACATTTATATATTAGCGTATGTGTATACATATATGTATATAATTTATTATAATTATACTGAAATTGTATCTCAAAAGGGATATAAAGCCATTTAAGTTTGTTGGTTTGATTTCTTCAAAACCTTTTCCGCCACAGCAGCTCCGTTTCTGCTGCGGGGCTATCTGTGTATATGTACGGGGTGTGACCGATATCTGCGGAGAAAAACTTACAACTACAAAACAAATCTTGCCTGCCCTGGGACCTCTAAGAAAGTATAGCACACCTACAGGGGTGGGGCGATATACATAGATCTTCAAACAATCGATTGGGGTCCGGATACCCGAATTCTGGGTCTGGGATGGAGATGAAGTAAAACCTCTGTTTTGGCCAGTTTGGTTGTATAATATTGTGTATTTCATTCTGGTGTTGTTTCTGTTTTTGTTTTAGTATAATTGCATAAAAGTCAACATCATTAGCATTAAAATAATGATAATTAAATATATGTATATCGTGTAAAACTAAAAAATAAAACGCTCGCTCTCAGCTCTGCTCGGCTCCTTCTTTACATGTATATAAAAGTCAAATCGTTAAAAGTTATCTCCGCGTTCAGTTTTACTTGCAATCAGCACTTTTGCACTAAAAATTATATCGACATTCTTTTTATTTTTCTCAACTTCTCAGCTCGCTTTTTCACAATGCTCTCGATAAAGAGTAACTCATCAAAATTAAATTCAAACTGAAATCAATAAAGGAAGCTAGGCACGATAAATGACAATTTGGTGGTTATAATTTTCGATAATAAGAACTTAACTTAAATGTGTGCTTGTGTGGGCGTATGTGGGTGTATGCGTGTGCTTTAATTCATGGAGATGTGTGATGACCTCTGATGTTATCTTCAATTGTTTTCGCTTAAATTTCCGTGTCGTTTGTCTGCCTTTTGGGTTTTTCTCATGTTCTGTTTTTGTTTAAGTCTAACACATAATTTAGTTGCTTTTGTTTAATAATATATAATATAAAAACTAAATAATTAATACGTTCCAACGCATAGCTAACTCGCATTTTGCTTCCGAGAACAGAATTTTTCACAAGCATTTTCCTTCAGATCAGATCAGTGTTCTATATATCCTCCTCCCTAGTGGTGTTCGTGTACGCAAGTGTTTTGGGGTTTGGGGCTGAGTGGGCCATTCTGGAGGATCGTTAGACGCACATCAGCTTTTGACATCATTCTCAGGTTGTTGGTTTTTAGTACAAGTACATATAGTTAATTAAATAGATAGGCCGGCAGGCGGTCCTCGCTGCCATCCTTAAATATGTTTGTTGTTGACAACAGAAATTCACTTAAACAAATGCCCAGCATTCGAGTGTTTTGATAACAAAGTCTTCTTGTGGCGCCAGAGGCTCGTTGCCGTATGTGCTGCACTGCTGCGATCGTCCCTGGTTGAGATCACCATCCAGCCACAGGCCGAAGCGACCACTGAAAAAAGTAATACACAATTTAGAGATTGCACGGTATTTTCAAGGCCTTGAACTCACTCTCCAGCGCCAATCGAAAGGCTCTCCATGTTGCCTTTGATGAAGTACATATTCTCGCCAGTCCAGTGGAACACCTTGAAGCTGGGGTTAAACTTGTAGAGCAGGGACTCACCAGTGCCGTAAAAATGATCGGACACATGCAGTGAGCAGGAGGTCAGGGCACCAAATACCTAAAGAAATGAAATATATTTGTGTTAATATTTAGACTTGCATTTATTTTTGGCAGTATGTATTTTAATTACTGTTATCTCTAATGCACTTTGCTTAAATTTTAAATGTTGGTAATTGACGTATTAAACAGGTATTAAAGAAGAATTTGTCCAATTAGCATTTTAGACTAAACAATCAAATATAAAACCTAATTATTAGGTCTTTAGCACGAACCCGAGCACGAGTAAAGTGGTGAGCAAATCAGTTAGATTGTATATTACGTCTCAGCCCTTTTAAAAGCTCTTGAATATGTGGGGAGTTCACTAGCCCTATAAAGGTGATATTAAACAATACTTAATATACAAAAATACAGCAAATAAGATGATAAGTCTTATGGGAACATAAAAATTGTGACATTTATTAATTTATTAGGGCGAGTGAACTTATTTGTTTAAAGTGAGCTGAGAACGATTCGTTACGCTCAAAATAAAATATAAGGAAGTTGAATTGAAATAAAAAACAGAACTAAAACTTTGCAATAACATAATAATATGTATATACTTTTTTGTAATAACTACACCCAATACTACGCTTGTGCAGGATTAAACTTACATTGTGCTCTGTATCCTCGATGACAATCAGAACTGGACTTTCCAGACGTGCCATTTTGCGATATAGGGAGTTAAGTGCGAAACCATGTTGTGAAGTGCTGAAGATCAGGGACCAGGAGTATCCCTCGGCTCTTGCTGGCAGATGTGAGCAGAGCTTCTCGCTGCAATTAATAAACTAACATTAATCTAGTTTCTCGCAAAGGTTTTGAGTAAGAATTCCCTTCGAAAGCAGCTCAATAAGAAAACATATAGAATTCGATTTGGAGGGCCAAGCTGCTTGGACAGTGACAACTTACCGATGCTCCTCTGTGAGGATTTCTGTCTTGCCAATCAGGTCTGGTATGGGGAAGTCCAGGTCGAAGGAACCAGTGGCGAAGAGTGAGGTCTTGCGATATTCATCTGTGCTCATTGACAGCACCTGAAGAACGATTGATGAAAATAGGCAAATATTAGCACAATAGAACAATGTTGAATGTATATAACTAATAAACATAATCTAATCGATAAGTAAAAAAATATTTATATCTATACCAAATCAAACTAAAGGTACATATCAAAAAGATATTTAAATACGTTTCTGCTGTTTTAGTTGGGAAGGTTTTTGGGTATTAGCTTTTAAATTTCAGTGCTTTGCTTTGGTTTTAGGTTTTCATTTTAATGTATTTTATTTTGTGTGCAGTGCTAGTATTGTGTATCTGCTGATTTTGTGGGTGTATCTTGTCTTGGTTTAAGTTTAGCTACAAATTAAAAGAGCTCGCTTGGCATCGGCACTAGCAGAGTGAACTAAAGTGAAAGAAAAACACACTTAGACAGCGCAAAGATGTATATTTTACAATGCTAAAAGATGTTTAGTGAAAATTGGACAATTTGCCAAGTTGACTGAACCCACATACGAGTTTTACGATTGTTTCTAGATAGTTTGCATTCTGGATCAGTTGACCAGCGCAATTTGCTAGAAAGTCATGTTTCCCCCGAGTAAACACAAAAGGTGTTATCTAGTTGATTTTTATCCATCATGAAAGAAATCGTTCCACAATTAAGTAGATTATCAAAATATTTAGAAGTTTGTGCTTAGCACCACGTCATTAGAAAATAAGTTTGTTGTTCAGACCCTAAAGCATCAAATCTCAACCGCGGTGTATTAGAAAAATATTTACACAACTGTAATCGATTTTATTTGAGACACTTTCGTTATACGTTTAAATTACTACACTTTTGCCAATGGGATTGTCAGGCTTCAATTTGGGTGACTTCTAACGATTTTGACAACTCCATGCGCAAATTTCCGTCTGGCGAGGACTCAGTGCTATTGTCGGGCTGGGAGACTGTGGACACGAACAGGGATTGGGTTGGATTGGATTGGACTGTCAGGGAGGTGATTGGGGGGAGCACTTCTCGATTGTATATCGTGCTTAGTAGCTGTTGAAGGCGCGACTGTTGTGCTTGGACGAGGCACTTCCCAGGCGCTGCACGGCGGACTCCTTCTTGTATCCCTGCGGCATCCCGATGTCGTTGTGCTCCGCGGGGGGCTCCATCATCTTCTTGGGTCCCCGCTTCTCGCCCATCACATTCCTGCCGCGTCCCCTTTGCTCCGAATCCAGGCGGGTGTCGCTCCGCGTGGTCATCTGGTGCAGTGAGCTGTGGGGCGATGGCCAGTTGGACCTGGTTTGGCCTGGCCTGAGCGACCTGGATAGCCCCGATTCCCTGGGCCTCTCCTCGCTATCCCCGTCCCCGGTCTCGTCCTCATCTTCACCCTCTTCCCGCTGCTCTCCTGCATCCGACCGGCGGTATGCCCCGAAAAACTTGGGAGTGACCTGTCGCCCGACGTCCTGCCTCATGCTGCCACGCCTCTTTCGCGGGTCACGGGGCTCCGACATGGCCCGCGCACTCGGACTGAGCTGCGGCGTCGGATTCACCGGCTCCACTATCTGGCGTATCATCTGCTTCTGATTTCCCCTCACCGACTTGCGAAAGCCAGCGTACTTCTGGTTAATCACCTGCTGCGAGGCGCTTATCTGGGCCGCATTGTCGGCCGAATCGTAGTGGAGGTCATCCAAGCGCGGTTGTCCCGCCCTCTGGCGACTCCTGCCTCCGCCGAGGATGGTCTGTTTCAGGAAGTCCCGCTCCGCCTTCGGCTGCTCGTACCACGAATCCGATTCGGTGTCGTGGTTCTCTCCAGACTTCGGGAGGCCCCTGGCCACTGTGATATCGGGTCGGACGGCGCGGGCCAAGGCCACGTCCATCAGCAGATCCTCGGGCTTCTCCTCGACGGCTGGCTTCGGGCTGTGCCAGCTGGTCGGCGGACGCAGTTCGCTGCGCTGCTCCGAGAACTTTTCCTTGGCACTGGCGGCGTGCAGCTCGAACTTGGGTTGCGCACTGAACTGAGGCAGAGGTGTTAGCGACCTGGCCTGGGTCTCGCGGTTGCGATTGGCCTGGCCAATGACTATCTGACGGCGACGGGGCCGCACCTGGCGGTCCACCTGCTCCTCGGACTGGGCCACCGGCCCACTGCTGCTGCTCTCGCCAACACTGCTCGCCGAGACACTGGAGAGGTGCTTGAGGGGCCGCGGATGCTTCCAGCCCGACATGGGATCGGCGAGACTCTTCGGCCGGTGGGTCAACTGATCGTGGTAGTCGCGCACCGTCTGGCGGCCCCGGTCGCAGTTGAGCATGTCGCGCGTGCCGGCGTCCACCACCATCAGTTCCTCCTGAATGGACTGGCTGATGTCCCTGGCCGCCTGCATGGCCATGCCCTTGCCGAATCCCGTCGCCTGGTTGTAGCGCCTCTGGGTGGCCGACAGCGAGGCCGTGGTGTTGGGCGGCAGGGACTCCCGGTCCGAGTACTCCTCCTGGTCCTCCTCCTGCTCCGGGTGCTGCTGCAGCTGCGAGCGACTCTGCAGGCTGCTCGAGGAGGAGAACAGCCGCGTCTTGCCGTAGATCTTGTAGGGCGCCACCTTCGAGGGCCCCAGGCTGGGGGCCACGCCCTGCATCTGGTTGACCAGTGTCTTCTTCACCCCGACGATCTTGCGCACGCGGCTGCGCCCGAAAAGACCATTGTCAGGGACGGCCGGCTTGGACCACTGGCTCAGCTGGCCCAGGCTCTGGACCACCATCGGCCTGCTCCGGCTGTGGTAGAAGCTCCGCATCGTGGTGGCCAACGGGGAGATCTGCAGGCTGGCGCCGCGCTGCGCCAGCTTTCCCAGGCTGCACTGGTGGCTACTCATTCTGACAACCGATATACGCTTAATTTTGGCTAAACCCTCCAAATACGAAGCACGTTCTCCACGGCTACCGACCAACGAAAAGAAGCGAACGACGAAACACGGAATAAAACCCGGTTGGGGTGGATAAATACGAATTTTTGCTTTGGGGAGCTCTGTACTCCTACGGAACGAAATAAAACAATGACTGGCAACGAAATGAAACTGACCAACGACCCCACGGATGAAAACCGATGAAGGCAAAGGCGACGCCTGCTGGATCCTTAACCATTTTAAAGACTCCAACTTTTACAATTCTCCGAACAATGTGTATTTGAATACAAAGTGTATATGTATATAAAAAATAATACATTTTACAGTTGTGCACTTCTAAACGTAAATTTTGTGCTAGACTCTTCTAGATCACCCCAAGCTTACCGCAAAACTTCGCTGACGGGGACTCCTTTTGTGAAGGTGTGTATAGCGCAACTTTTCTAGCTTTTCGTGCAATCCCATGACGTACAACCGAGTGATTGAAGTATTTTAAAGCAACTAAACCCTATTTCTCCAAGAACTGGGTATTTGTGACAACGGAATTTAATTTCAATACAATCTAATCTGCCACAAATCTCAGTTCTTGATCGGCCAAAGCTGTTTATGTTACCATCTATTGATAGCCGAAAAGCTACACCTTCATGTGAAATCAATTTCGGCGCTCTGACTAATTTTTGCGTGCGGGTTCGGACTTTGTTTTTACTTATTATACATTATTTATTGTTTTGTCGCTGGGTGTGACAATCTCGACATTGACAGCGTGTGAACATTTTGCCAGTGACGTCAATGATTGTGCTAATTTTCTTCGTACTGGTCGAGTATGAATTACCAAAATAAACTCTCTCTTAAGTCATCATTTTTCATAAGTTTTGCATACAAGCAATAGCAATGCGAACAGTGAAGAGGAGTTTGCTGACAGCACCCGCACATTAGTTGCCAGCCAGCACCTGTTCATTATTCAGATGTGAGATCATTCACATTCCAAAAAGCGTCTTAGCGTCAAGACAACTCTCGCCCGACTCTCCTGGTTTGAATGGCCGTGATTCAGACATTAGCAAGTCTTGATAAGGCCCAAAAACAAAACCCGCTCGGCAAATACTAAACCCGCTTATATCACAAAAGTAATTTGGAAATTATGCAGCCAGCCGTATTCGTTATTCGGAGACGCAGTAGGGGGCTTGATTAAATCTCGATCTTCGGTGGTTTGATTGATTAGCTTTGGGTTATGGGCACTCGAGTTGAAGAACCCCGGAGTGGCGCTTTATTGTGCCATGACTTTGATTCGCTTCGAGTGTCGTTCTACTAGACTTCAAATCAACTACGAAGGAGCTCCCCAGGCAATCCAACGACCTCGTCGCAATTAGTCTGATATAAAATCTGCGATAAAGTCAGATAGTCGTAGATAGCTGAGCTGCATGGAAGGTCGACAGATGTGAATGAGAATATGTGTTTTCAGCAAGGCTTAATTTGGGTCAGAGAAACAGATCGGAAACTCATTTTGATTGCCAGACATCGCCAATTTCATATATGTTTGCGCAATTTTTGCGACAGGCCAATGGGAACAAAAGAGTCCAGTAATTGAGGCGTGACTGCAATTTTCGGAGGCCCACTACAATTAAAAAACAGAACGCAATTTCGCGGGCACCGCAATAAAATAAACAGCGATTTTCAACGCACTTCAACGAGGGTCAGTTTCAAATCGCAGATCAGAGCGGGGCATTTAAAAAGAGAGAGCCAAAGTCAAACGTCAATGACAGTCTGGCTGGCATGTCGCATATAGGTTTATATATATTGGCCGAGCACTTCAAAACACGAGCTCAGTGGAGCCCGAGTTGTGCTGTGCTCCCCGATGAGCGCAAAGTTAATAACCAAATACATTTTTTGAAATTAATATAAAACCCTATTGAACAGCTGGGAAATCACATGAATCATGTGTTCGTGCCCGCACTAATGATGTTTTTACCTCGCGGTCGAGTCCATGACTGACAATCAATTCGCACATCTTCATGTAGTTTTGGCACTGATTTTGTTGTCACTTTCAATCAATTAACTTTTCGCTTCTTCGGCTCACAAATTCTTTACGCACACGGCGGCGGAGGTGGCGTATGCGCAATATCAAGTATACGACACTCGGGCACGTGCTCGGTACAGTTGTTGATCGAATCAGAATCTTTATCGTCCGTTGCTCTGCAGGGATATGGCACAGATGTGTAGCACAGATGCTGCGGGGCGATTAACTCCGCCGACTTGACCGACTTTGGCGTATCGCGTTTAAAAGCCAACTGCCAGCGGGTTCGGTCCAACCGTTTTTATTGGCCGCCAGCGAAAATATATTTATTTGCCGCTCGCTCAAATTAACTCAGCTCAAGTCGTGAGTTTGCTCGGCAAAAAAGAGAGTCAGATACATTGTACCAACAGAGAGAGGGCTTAAATCGAGTTTTGCCATTGGAGATCAGAGTTTAGGAGAATTAAATAAATTAAGGCAGGCTTGCACCTTATGAAGTCAAAAAAATCAAATTTTTTTTTTTTGCAGTTTCGGATACATACATGTTTTAATTTTACTCTCCTAAAATTTCAAGTCGAAATCTCTTGAATTACGAAAGTTATCGGCCGTTTGGTGGACCGGTGTCAAGCGCGTTGCCATTATAGTGAAAATTTTCAAACGCGTTTTTCTCGAAACCATGTTTTCCGAGTTGGCGGAAGTCGTACAAGCCGCAAAAATTGAGCAATCGTCATGAAATTTTTTATACATGTTCCTCAGAAGTATGTGCATGGTATAGACTAGGATCTTTTGAAAATATTAAAAATTGTTTATTTAAAAAAATAATGAGTAACGAAAAAATGAGGAAAATACCGATTTTTTTTTCAAAAGCTCATAATTTTTGCATTTTTTATGTTTTTTCAATTATTCTAGTTCAAGCCATGCGAGCAAGTGTACAGATTAAGAATATATTCGTTTTTTGCGTTTCAGATTATTTCTTAAAATTCCAAAAAATCCGCCATGAGGACGAGTTTTTCGCGGACATGCCGCCATTGTTCGGTACTCCCCCTCCCCCCTTCGCTTGGATCGCACTCAAAAAAATTCTGTAGCTTCAATAAACTGTACCCTACAACTGGCTAAAATTTTATTCCCACACCTACCATACTTTCCAAGAAATAAATTCCAGAAAAAAATCAGGTTTTGGGCGCCAACAAGGTGCAAGCCTGCCTTAATAATAATAAAAGACGGTGACAAGCTGCTCACGTTTAACTCTCTCATTTCAAACTCTCGACAATGGCAATTATTTCGTGCAGCTTCAAATTTAATGCCAGTTTTTCTGAAAAGTGTGTCAAATGTAAAAACGGTTCTGGCGTGAAATTGCGAGTTACAAAACCCACGTTGAAAACACTCAAAATATCACTTTCTTTAATTTCTGTTTTGAGATAATCAAAAGTAACTTTACATTCTTTAAACCCTCTTTCTTTATTTAAATTAAAGGCAAACAAGTAATCATATTGATTTGTGTTTTAGGATCATATTTATAATCAGTTATTTGTTTCAATTTAGTTCATTTATATTTTGTTTTATTAATAGAATAATTATTTGTGACTTTTCGTTCCCGGGGGAAGACAACATAACCGATTTTGGCTAGATAAATGTTTAAGCTTTGCGAAAATAAATTGAACAAGTGGAAATATGTTATCTTTACGATGTTTGCCAAAAATCATTTGCTCGCTTCTCAAAATCGGTAGCACTGCGGATAAGATCTATATAGTCGCCATATACAAGCAATTAATGTTTACGACCTCTTGTTTAGTCGAGAGTCGTAAAAACAATCTGGCAGGGAAGAAAATCATTCCCAAGGGAGTTTCCCTCTGTAATTCAGTCACGACACAAGGCTTGAATTTCAGTTGACCAGAAATATTTGCACAACAAGATTTGCAATTTGTTTTCGTTTTCTCCGCGATGCAGATAAGATAGCACAGCGCCATTACCAGCTATCTATTTTTAATAATTAATTTAGAGCACATTATAATTGACTGGCAGCAGATTTAAAATTGATTTTGAACAAATCTGGCGGGGCCATCGCTTCTTCTGAAGGTGAGATTATGATATTAGACTGTCCTTGTCGTTGCTTGATGGTCTTTGAACATGTGTCATTATTTTTGACCATTAGAAGAACTGAATTTCGCAAAGCAGGAAGCGACTATTTCATCAATTGAAAAGCCTAAGACTTACAGAAGCGAACATTTGTTACTACTCTAGTACTTTATTATTTAAGCTTTTAGTTATTATAATAATATTTTATTATAGTAATATTTTTTATAACTCTATAAATTAACTATAGTTATTTTTCTATTTCGGCAGTCCATACACTAACTATTTGATATAGTTAAAAAACGAGCCACTTATAGAGAACACGTACTTTGACTTGAGAAACGGCGGCGAACATGTTCCCCAACGGCTATGCATCAACTGGTTTCGCTGGGCCCAAAAAGTCAAAAGTAGATGGCAGAAAGTCAAAACCAAAGAACCGGCCTCAAAACAAAAAGAAGCCAAAGGCAGCAAAACGGAGAAGAGGAACCAGCAGAAAAGAGCTTACCGGGCAAACAGGTATGGGACCTGATAGCCGCGAAAGAGCCAGCAAAACAAAGGGGCTAAAGCAAAGAACAGCAGACTTGGCAAAAAGCTAATAGGTATGCAAAAGCATTCGCGGGCTAGGCATTCTTCGGGTACATTGAATGGGCTGGGGGTGGTGGGCTGGGTGGTAATTATAAGGTGTGTGAGAGGCTTGGCCTGGGAAAGGTGCGATGCCAAGATATGTTAAAGTATCGGAATACAACAGCATATGACCGTTAATAACAATCTACTCTATAGAAACGACCAAAGCCATATTAACATATTTAAATATTGTGGAATATATATTCCTCAAGAACTCCCTACTAATACTTAATAATAGTTATAATATTTATTCCCAGAAAAATAATATATTGTTAGGCCCTAAAAAACTATTTAACAAACTAGGTAGACGTGCCTTTTAACGTTTTCTCTATTTATGACCAGTAATAGACGTGCTTGGAAAAGTTCCTGGAACAAGTCTGTAATGTTTTTTCATATATATATGTATAAAATATGTACATATATTCAAATGCTGAAAAATCGTAAGTTTCCAGTCTCTAAGGAAATTTTCAACTTTGATAACCTAATTATAACCGGAGCTAAGTTGCATGGTTTGTTTTGATATTTTGTCGTTTTTTCTGCACTGCTTATCGGTTCTTGTTACTTCGCCCGTATTATTTTAATTTTTTTTCCATGCTTGAATCAACTTATCAGCAATTGTTGTTTTTCTGCTTTTACTTCATTTGTTTTTGCTTAAATGCTTTAAAATAGCAAAGCGAAGAATTGTGGTGCGCAATTTGTAATTTTTTTAAGTTTGTTTGTTTTACATCTCCATTTTTTCTCCCTGCCGAGTTGTTTATATGTCTATGCAAATATTTAGTGAGTTGCACAGAATAACTTAGGTTAGTTATCATGTGTCGTGAGGTCACATCGTCGCCCCAAACAAGTCAACTATTTGTCAAAGTTAAATAGTAACTAGGAAGTCTTACTAGAGAATCATCCGACAGAGATGAGGTGCCAAAGTGATTACAATACATACTAATATGGAAGAGGTTCTCCCGAAAAGATCATTGACCCAGGGAAAACACCAACGTTGGAGACACCTGATAGGTTAACAAATGTGATTCGATTCGAGATGCCGAACCTTTAGCCACATTTGTCTCTAATTATGATGGGGTAATAGTTGCAAATCAGTTCAAGCTATTAACTTGGCTTTTGTTAGCGTATCCAAAGTGATCTGTAATAGGAGAAACGTGTGCGATAATAGCTCTATAATAGGTGTAACCCTTATATTCTTGACACTAATTATTATCCGCACTAAGCAACAAAGTTTGTAAGGTTGTATAATAAACGTGGATTAAAGATCTTTAAGATGTGTAAGAAGGCGTAATTTTTATACATTGAACTATGCAAATTATATGGGAAGAAGTACTATATTAAAAGATTGGACAATCAGGTTTGCAAGACTGAAAACATTATTATATTATTATTATTATTATTATACAATAATTTTGTTAAAATTAAAAATACAGGTTTTCTTTATTTTGTGATAAAGTTATATTGTAAAAATGTTTATAAGTTTTATAAATGATGATTGAATAGCAGTCTGTAATGTAAAAATAGCCTAAAACTTTAAGTTAACTTAATCGAGGCTTTAATTCACACATCCAAATGATATAAGAAATGAACGTTTATTAGTTCCCCTAACCATTTCCTTTTGCAGATACCATCCCCATCGGCACTCACCGTTTCGTGCATTTCGCCACTTTCGTCGAGCAGCGCCTCCAGACTTTGGTCGTCCTTGGTGGGCGAAAGGGGGGCGTGGGCGCGCGGTTCTTGGCCGCCAGAAGGGAGCGGGGCAGCAGGTGGCGGCCGTAGTGCAGGTAGAGGTAGCGACCCCATCTGCGACCGGCCAACCCGCAAACGGCCAAAACGGCAAAAACGGAAATGACAAACCACATGTTGCTGAGGGCCTACAGTGGTGGTCTGAGAAATAGCAGCAGTAGCGGCTGCAAAAGCTCCCGACGAAGGGGGTGTGCTACTTTTTCGGCTAGCACTGTGCAAAAGCTTGGGGGCTCAGCATTTTGCCTCTCTCTCTCTTTTTTATCTCTCTCTTCCGCGTTTCTGAATGGTCTTGTGACCCACGAGATTTGCAGCTTATTTTCTCCGTTTGTTTGCGTTTCTGTTGTCGCCACCGCTTTTATCACGCTCTACGCCTTCCACTCTTCGCTTTTCCAATACTGTCTTTCTCCTTTCTTCGTAACACGTAAACACTTAGTTTCTAGTCAGAACACCTAAAATTTTTTTGCTGTTCG